GCCGTAGCAGTTGTTACGGAAAAGTTCAGAAAAGGGTTCAGATTTACTGATGGCCCCACCGTAGCCGTGACCCAAATGATGAACATCGAACTGCTTCGTAAGGCTGGATGACCCAATGCATTTTATGCGTGATACAATTTATGAATAGCTGTAACGCCCGTAAAGGGTGCCAGAACAGTTTTAACGGTAAAATGATGCAGTCTGTTTGTTCTGAGTCGTGGCCGCTCAGCAGCACCGCAGATCAGAATTGGAGTGGTGTCTTCTAAACTATTTTGCCCCTCCATCCACCGCTACACAATATCATTTTTATGCGTTTTTCCTGCGCAGCGCTCTAGCGCCGCTATAGTGAGAAAAATGGATACTGTCAAGAGACCCACGGTGTGTGTGTTTTGTGTGTGTGTGTGTGTGTGTGAAATTTCTCACGCGCTTTTATCAGAAAAACCAGGACATCTGCGAGGCTGAGACTTTGCAAGGATATTCTATATTCAAGGGTGGTCTAAGTACAACTTGGAGCTAAATTTCGTGCAGAAAAACATGAAAAGTACTCAGTTTTATCGCAACCTCAAAAGCAAGTGCGTTTTGTGGATCTAGTAGTCTTTCTATTCCGACATCCATCCATGCTGTTAATGACCCGACTGCTGCAAATTTGATGCAAAAACGCATGACAGAACCTGCAAGCCTGGTGCTTGGCAGCCCGAGTTTTTAAAAGCAAATTTGCAGCCAAAGAGATGACGCAGCTTAAAAAAATCCTAGAACGCAAAATGCGCAAAGGCATCCTGGCCCCACACATGTCAAGGAAACCATGATCTCGAGGTTGTTTGACGCGGTAACCCTATGCTTTTTATGGTAATGATTTGATTCTTACATATCTTAAGCAGCTATCTAGACCTTTCGATCCAGGACAGCATGCCTGCAATTAGTACCAGCAGTCTGTTCGATGTGTGTGTGTCATATCCATCCAGGGCTACATGAGTGGTCGTTTACTTTCTCACGTGTCACTTGCTAGTGTGTCACTTATTAGTGTGCGACCTGCATCGGTTGTGGTGAAGGCGGGCAACATCTGAAATTTTACTATTCGTATGGTCGGAAGTGCACACACTAAGGATCGCATGGAAAGATACCGTCTTCGCAACGTTTGCCAGCATAACCCGGATAACAAATACAAGTTGATGATTGTTTTGAGCCGATGCACAACCCATTGTTACTGCACATCGCTGAATTGCAGAGCGCCGTTGTCGCTGCAAAAATTCAACCACATGTATTAGTACAGGAATAAAAACGTTAATTTGATTCAAAGCAGGAGGTACCATTCATGCTGCATTCAATCATGAGTTAGGAGAAAATAAATTAAGACAAGGGACAAGAAAATCAAATTTTAAGCCGACTTTGAACCAACTCGTCAAATTAGACAATACCAATTTGCATTTTCAAAGAATGACCGGTAAAAGCTAATTATGCGTTTTTGCATATATGCAAATGCAAAACCCAAAACGCAAACGTAGAATGCTCATGGTGTGGTTATGTGTATGTGTTTGTGCGTACGCATGTATACTCCTATGTTTTTGTGCGTCTGTCCAAGTACTTCAACTCGGCAACCAAGCAAGCTTCGGCGCTAAAATTTGGCCAGTGAGTTCCACGGCCAAGTGCCAACCCAGTGTCGCAGCACTAACTCCTACGTACGTCTGGATTCCGCGCACGAGCAGGTGTAAGCTTTGCCAGGAATTTGCTAACATGTCGGCGAAAAAACCTGAGATGTTGAAATTTTAAGGGAATTTTCCTTATCAATACAGCATTAAAGATTTCAAAACCAACCCCCAGTTACGCATGGTTCTCAAGTATGGGATTGTCAAAACCTTCGGTGGGAAAATGGCTAACTGGAAAACCAGAAAAGCTGAAATTTTCAGATGTTCTCCTTCCATGTTGGACTAAAAAGTTTCAAATTCGGCCTCAGGCGTGCGTCTTTTCCAAAACGAACCCGTGAGAATTTTTGGCTAAAAAATCGCTAACTCAGAAAGCAGAAAATCTAGGAAGTTGAAATTTTAACGGAATTTCCTCTGTCCAAGTGTCATGTACTTGCAAATTAACTTCCTGAAAATCAAGGATCGACATGTCACAAATTCTAACAAATGAAATTCCGAGCGATCTTATTATAGTACGGAATGCTGCAAAAACGCATGACTGCGTGTCCTTGATGCGCGCTGCCAATGCTTTTTATACATTTTTACTGTGCAGCGCTAGAGCGCTGCAACAGGCTGCGAAAATGCATATTGCAACGATCCTGTCAGTGTGGGTGTGTGTGTGTGTGTGTGTG